GAAAAGAAGCAAAGACTAAAGACCTCCACTGTTCAAGTTCTATATGTGCATCAGGCCACCAGCTTTGAAATCAACGAGTAGATTATCAGTTCAGGTCCTCATAATTATAAAAATAGATAACAAAACTTAGATACCTGATTTCAAGAAATTAAAAGCTCTAACATGACTCTCTGTTATGAACTGTTCGTCTCTATATGTGTCTATTTGAATAAAGAATTTAACTAATCGAAGAGCGCAGATATGCTAAGATTCACTCCAGAGCTCTGACTCATGTTGAAAGGGGAAGCAGGTCTATGTGCTACTGTGAACTATCTCCGACAAGTAAACCTCAAGAACTAATAGTTATAAACTGAACTGATTAGTTCATTGTGTGAATGTACAAGATGAGAAAATCTGATGTTTTTACACCCATACCTTGAATTCGGCAAATAACTTAGAGAATATACCATGAAGATAATATAGGAGACGGAACGTCTGTTCTTGTACACAAAATTTGTGGATAACAAAAGAAAAAAAAAAGAAAAGAAACTTAATGTTGAGCATAGACTTAGCATAAAAGAAGGAAATTAATACAGACTGCAAAAATCAAATTAATGAGGCATAAACTTATGTCATGACTACTAAAAACACGTTGAATCATTCAAAAGGAAAGATTAAGTATAAGAAACTTTTAAGATACTCACTGGGAAACTTGATTCATGGGATCTTCAGACATCTGCTGAATCTGCTCATACTTATGTTCAAGAATTAGAGCAACTTCACAGTTCATTAAACACTTTGCCTTCAGAAATTCTGTTCAGAAAACATCCCCAACCCGCGCAAAAGAAAGAAAAACAATAAAACACTCAGCCCCAGATTTAGTACGTAATATAAAACCAAATTCTAAGCATGGCTTTAGTTTTTTGCTCCAACTGATTGGTGTTTATGCCTTGCAAAAGGATTTAAACAGAAGAACAAGTTTACCAAATTGATTTGACCACACAATAAATGCAAAGTATAAATCTGTAACCTAAATCAGAGAGCTTAAGTCAAAAACTGTTATCCTCTCTACGAAATTCCTTTTTGTTTCTCTTTTTTGAACTTCAAGCTTATTTCCATTCAAGAGGCAATTCGCCATGTATAAATTTACATCCATATCTATGTAAAAATAATAATAATAATAGTAAAAATAAAAAGAAAAAGAAGAATTAAGGGGGAATGACCATCTCCAATTTTAAGCTCGGCAGCATTTTCTTCTTCTTCTCCAGACATATTGAAACTGAGAAACGAAGAGAGAGCGGTCAGCTAGGGTTTAACAAGCTCAGGGAGAGACCAATGGCAAGATTATTATGCTTTTAGCATCTTTTTCTTTTCCTCTGTTTGAACAACGCTGACCTTTCTTCTTGACTAAAAAGAATCACTTTTGACTTGACAAAATTCAGAGTAATCTTACGTGTAATTTCTACATTAGGAAGATTAAAAAAATAATTCAAATTAGAAATTTATTTGACCAACAAAATAAATGGAATATGATTTTTATCAATTTATATTCCTTATATAATAATTTTTCAAAAATAAAATATCATAATAATCAACGTTCTATAAGTAATAGAAACAAGAAACTCATTAAGGAAATATTAAAATTCAAAAACTTTAACGGCCCCGGAAATTAAAAAAAAAAGTGTATATATTTATTTTAAGTGCAGAAGTTAAAATAAATTATGATTAACATCTCTTATACAATAACCAAAACAAATTAAGGTATGAAAGAATAAACTAACTTAAAGGAAATACTATGAAAGAATACTGTAAGGAAAACTAATAAATTCTTTGGCTTCTACTCGCCGTCTTCCTGCAGAACGGGCTCGGGAACCAAAGCCTCCTGATCTGAAATGGTTAAGTAAGGAATGAGCTACACTAACCCAGTAAAAACATCACACTATCTCACTGTCACAGAAGTAATGGTTGGTAGAAAATGAAAACAACCAATGAAGCATAATTTATACAAACTCATTTATGAATAATAAAACTCTTTACTGTCCACTTACCTCAATGAGATTCATGAAAATAATTTATAAAAACAATTACATCCTAAATATCATAAAATCACGCACACTAGTATCCATAGGGGTCCATAGGGGGTCTTCGCTACACGTGAACAATTCACATTAATAACTTAATTCCAGGGTCGTCCCCATACCCCGTCCGGTATGGGCGCCAAAACTATAAACCTCAATACCCCGTCCGGTATGGGCGCCAAAACACATAAGGTCTCCATACCCTGTCCGATATGAGAGACCACGTTTCCGGTAGGGTTCTCTATGGATCCGGTCCGTCCACCATCTCCCAAGATACCTAGTGAGGCTGTAGACATTATCCATTATCAATTCACATACCTTTTTACCATTTTTCTTAATCTCAATTATCCAATCAAACACAAAATACGTAAACCAGTAATGGACACCAAATAAGACAACACAACATCGGGTTCACAATAATTCAAGTATAATAAATGAAACCGTGATTCATGTATATGAAACCATAGAATAAACACATCACGCACCATACTGCATTCAAAACTGTAAAATAAATCAAACAACACCTGACCGAAAATTTATCAGATTCGGGCTCCATTAGCAACCCTAATCAATTATACATATATATTAATTTATAAAATACCGTTTTATCATTTATTATGCTTTAATGCCGTGA